TTTTTTATATAAAAGAGAGAAACAAATAAACCTAACACTAGAAGAATCGAACTTCTATCATCAAATTAGGAATTTACTGCTCTACCGTTAAGCTAAGCGTTATAAACTATCCTTTTATAGATAAAATGTTGCTAAAAGAGAATAACAGATCTTTATCTAAAAAGGGGATTATGATTTGCTTGTTGCTGTAGCTGTAGGAGTAGGACTCATACATAGTACGATAGGTCCAACCATAGCAAGTAAGAAGATTACACTTGCAACTACTAACCATAGTGAAGCGTATGTGTATAGACCGTGACCAATACTTTCGATTTGAGTAAAGGTTGTCATTGTGCTATCTGCAACTACTGGGTTGAATGCAGCGTGAACTCCTTCTGTTCCCATAGAGTGGTGAATAGAGTCAAGTGCAGTGTCAGTGTTAGAAATCCCAAGTAGAGTTGTGTTTAACCAGTTAAAGATACTTAGTGAAACGTGTAGTGATCCACCATCGTGGTAACTTACTGGTAAGATTGATAGTAACTCGAAGAAGAATAGTGATCCTAAGAATGCTCCCATAGGTAAGCTCTTAGTATACTCTTGTCCTGTCTCAACTAGCTCAACTAATCGTAAGTTAAGCATCATGATAACGAATAAGAATAGGATCGCGATAGCCCCAACGTATACAATTAAGTATACAAGTCCTAGGTAGGCAACACCTAATAGAACTAAGTAACCAGCTACGTTAAGGAACACAGCAATTAGGAATAATACCGAAATAACTGGGTTTTTAGCAGTAATAACCATAATACCTGATAAAATGGCTCCTAAAGCTAGTAAATCTAGTAATACGTTGTTCATATTTAAAATATAGATACCCTATCTAACACCAGAAACAGGTAGTTAGATGCTATATGCCTTATATAAAGGAACAGCAGAGAGTCGTAGACATTTAGCTTATTATTTATAGCTGTTTTCCCTTGTTATAAAGAAGAAGAAAACAGAAAAATGAAGTAATAACTAAAGTAGTCGTTTAGGCTAAAATAAATACACACCTAAACAGTAAACCAAAATGAGTTTAGTCTTAACTCCCTATTATGAATAGGGAAGTCCTTAACTGGAGTCGAACCAGCTCTCTAAGAATTAACAGTTCTTCGCTGCACCGTATAGCCCTAAGGACGTTATCTATTGGTTTTAGTATTAACATACTTATATTGTATTAACTAATATGACTTCATTTTGGCCCCCCTATCCCCCAGCGTAGCTGGGGGAAGTAGCGGGGGCCAAAACACATGAAAACAGGACACAGCAAATTTCTCTAGTATAATGTGAGTTTCTTATAATGCTCCTTTAGAACACCGGGAGGGTTAAAGAGCTCCCGAAGGAGGCCCGGAAACATCTTACAAGTAGTGGGACTTGAACCCACATGGCTGGAGGCCACAGTTTCCTAAGAACTGCCCGGCTACCAATTACGGCATACTTGCTGTGCTTTTAATTCTACTGTTATAAAGAAGGTGGCAAAAAAGGGGGTTAATAATAGTCCCCAGCTACGCTGGGGAAGTAGTCATGTTAATACTATGAGTATAGTAGTAAGAATGACATCATAAGAGCGAATAGACCTGTAGCCTCTGATAGAGCGAATCCTAGGATCGCGTATGAGAATAGTTGCCAATCATACTTAATGGTATATATATATATCCTAGCGCCCCTGCTAGCAGGGGCGATTAAGTAATAATGAGATCATATCTTTTGTCATAGTTTCAGACAATTTAACATCTGATCGTTGAAGATTTAAGTCTTGCTGATTAGTATTTAGCTTATTCAGTATAGCTGAATAAAAGCCGTCATTAATTCTATTACCAATATTTTGGTGATCTTTTAATACAGTCCCAGCATATAGTTAATAATTCGACCCCAAGCAAGGTCGTAGAGCAGGGTTACGTGCAGTTGCAGTAATTAGTCCTGAGAATACTACTCCAATTCCAACTCCCGCTCCGGCTAGTCCAATAGTAGCTAGTCCTGATCCAATGTATTTTGCAGCTTGTAGCATGGTTAATATGAATTTAATAGCCTCGTCACACCGTACAGCGCCATAATAATTAAATTAACAGAGG